AAAATCAACAGCAGGAATAAAGTTAAAAATTTTTACAACACTATGGAGTTAAATAACATGTGACTGAATAACCAATATGTCAACTAAGAAATGAAAAAGAAAACAAAAAAAACTTCTTGGAGAAAATGATGCTACTGTCTGATCTATGCTGTGAGTACAGACAATGTCAGGATATATTTAAATAGCAGAATGATGATCTTATGCCTGCTTATGAATGTCTATACTATTGCAATAATATGGGGGAAATCAGTTTAGGGAAGGAAGTATGGGAAGGGGTAAACAGAAATCCTTGAGCCTATGGAATTCCATCAAAATTAAAAATAAATAGAAGGGAAAAATTACTTGATAAATCACTGAATACTCAAATATAATTATGGTAAACAAGATCAACATACAGAAGCAATAAATTACTTTTGTGATAGATGTAGCTAGTGAAAATAAGGCAGAATGCAGTTTATGACTATATTTTTGTAGAATGACCAAAACTTAATAGCAAATGGGTGAGCACAGATTTGATAAAATGAGTTCAAGATAATGGTAAGGTTTCAGATCCTGGTAACAAGGAAGACAGTAGTGTTTTATTTTAAAAATAATTAGATGAGGAAGAAAAAGTGCCAGAAAAATCTTAAAATCTCAAAATCACTAGGAGTAAGATATGTTTGGTCCATGATCTGAAAACAATGAAGCAATAATATAAAATAAAATGACTTCCCAACTTTAACATTTACCATGTGAATAAAAACAATCACATAATACATTATCATTGTGCTCAAATTTAGATTATCCATATCTTTTTAATTAATCCATATCTTTTTATCCATATCTTTTTTCTTGGACAAGAAAACTATTATCAATTTCATTGAGACTATAATCATGATTCAGTATCTCCAAACAGCAAGAAGGAAGATAGAAACAGATTAAATTACTGCCTCGATCTTGAATTCCATCTTTGAGGAATAATACACACTCTACCAATCCAAGCGACTGCTACAAATTTTATTATCAGGTAGACAAACACATAGATGCGACAGAATGTTAGATAAAGTAACATAACTTAAACCTATGAAAGAGTTTTGAAATTAGTTACACATAAACAAGAAATTTCTGTAATTCTCTTTGACAAACCTTTTACAGAGGCAAAGGCAAAAAAATAAGAAAAACTATTTTGAGGTATACCTTTTCTAAGACTTCTATGAGACATTTGAAAAATGTTTTTATTTCTTCCACAACAGCATAAGTATAGTCCTATGACTACATCATATCTCCACACTGTTTGTTAAAAATTTAGTATTAGCAAGTGTTTGAAAAATATATATTAGCCCGTAATTCTTAAAATTCTGAATAAAGATGATAATTTTTTTAATATAAAAGGATGATAAGGAGTGTCATGGTTTTTGTCTGAGCTTTAAATATCTGCGAATGTTGATTTTAATGCAATTTAAAATATCCATAGCCATTTCTGGGTTATTTATGAGGATATTTCATGCAACCTGTAGGATTTTCTTTAAAATATCTCAGATTAAATCAATAAGACTTCTAAAAAGACCTGGAGATTTTGAGAATTGACTAACACTCAAGGATCCCAGAGCATATCCAAACACTTTAGTATAATGCAAATACTAAGGTGATTCTGAAATAAGAGGCATGTGAATGACTGATTAAAATTGCACCAAAATAAACAAGCTGTAATGTTTTTAAAATTTAGAGATTGTTTTCCAAATGTATTTTTCCAGAGAGATAATGAAATATGTAATTCTTCATATTATAAAAATAAAACAAAAATCAATGCTTCCAATAGACATTTCTCACCTAAAACAGATTTAAAGACCATCTACTGGGACCAGCCTTGTGGCTTAGTGAGGTAAGTCACTGATCACAATATTCTACAAGGATATAGATTTGAATCCCAGCTGCTCCACTTCTGATGCAGCTGCTTGCTAAAATTCCTGGGGAAGCAGCAGAGGATGGCCCAATACTTGAACTCCTGTCACTCCTTTGGAAGTCTAGAATAAAGCTCCTAGCTTCATAAAGGGTGACTTTGTCCCAGGTGTTGGCAGCATTTGAAGCTCTAAACCAGTGGATAGAAGTCTCAGTCTCTCTCTCTCTCTCATTCTCTCTCTCCTTCTTCCTCCCTCCCTCTCTCCTCCTCTTCCTCCTCATCCCCTCCCCTTTTTCTCTATTTCTCTGTTTTCTGCCTTTCAAATAATATAAATAAGTCTTCTTTTAAAATCCTTGTTTCATTTATGTTTATCTAATCTCATTCAAATTTATCCATTCTCCCTCTTAAACAATGCAATAATGATCTATGAAGTTGCTTACAATGCTCACAATATACTGACTGTACAGCAAAGCAAATTACAGGGTATGTGCTAGCAATAGTCTTAAAGACAAGCAAGTTCAATTAGCAGCTGCCCTGTTAATACAACTGCACAAAACATGGAAGATGAACTTAAATGTGAGACTTCAATTTAACAATAAAGGAGTCTTCACCTTATTCTTGTATTAGTCTTAATGAGAAAGATGAAACTTGCCACTGATGATTTTAAGACTGCCTATATTATCCACCAATGTATTATACTACAGATAGAACTAATTTTAAAGTATACCAATTGACAAAGTTTAGGATCTTGCAGAAAAAATACTTTATGGTTACAGTTTTCCAAATTCTGAAATGCATAATTTATTTTATAAAGCACCTGTTATGCTTAGTTCTATGGGAAATGACTTTAAAAACCAGTGAAGAATGTAAAAAAAATATATTGTAACAGGAAATTAAAGAAAAGCAACCTTATATAAAACCAGATATATGTTCACACCACATACCATCAATGTGATGGAAATAAAGCTAGCAAAAATTTCACTGTAAGATATTTTCAAGAAAAAGCAACAGTGTAAAAATTGAGATTTAAAGATTGTTCACTGATATCAGTGAGATGAGTACTTAGCAGATAATCCTGGCAGGTAAGTACACACGATGAAGGCAGAGGGATTCAGGACTGGAAAAATGTAAAACATAATGACAACGGATAGAGCAGTAGGTGCTCAGGTAGTTACAATAGGTGAGATCCATTATTGAAGGGAATTGGCTAACAGGGTGAGACTTAGAGATTTTTTTCTGTAATTATTGAGTATTTTCTTGGGGCCACCAAGAACATAATTGTTTAGATTATAAGTTCTGAGAGACCCTGCCTGATGTAATGTCACTTGCTAGCTTTTGACTTTGAGCAAGTCATTTAATTTTCTCTTCCTTACTTGTATAAAATAATGATGATGTGTTGTCATGTGAGTGTCTTTTCATTTTAGTAACATGAGGGAGGGATAAATGGTAAAGGAACAAAACAGACAAAAGAATTGTAAGTGTTCCCTTATCAACATTGTCAAAACTGATTCAAGGGTGTGAGGTTACCATTAGCAGATCTCAGACAGCAATCATCATGGAGACTAAACTTCTGCCCCTTAACTTCCATAATCCATTCTCCTTCATACTGGGATGTTTAAGCTATTTTATATTTTTATGAAAAAAGGACCTTTTATTTTGCCACCATGGTTCATGACTCTGTCAGTTGTTTTTTTCACCAACTTCCCTCCATGTTAGTCTTTTATCTCCAATTTTCTGAAGCTGTTGAAATAAGATATTGCATGATCAGTTTCCAGGATAAAACCTGGAGCTTCTAGATCCATTCCCACAACAGCACTGACAGTTCATTTGACCTCAGAATTGCTGATAAAGTTCTTCATATTCAGATAAAATTAATGACTTGAAGTAACCTAAAATATGTTAATATTCACTACAAATGAGAAGCTTCTTTGGGTTTTAATTCTATGCATAATAAATTGGGTACTTTATTACTACATTTAACCTCTGGCACATCATTCTTTAAAATATAGATTCAGCTGCAAAGTCTAGTATTTGCATACATTGTGCTGATTTGTGATGGTCACTGTTTCTAAGCTACAGTTCATAAAAGGGATGTGAATTACCATGAGACCTAATATTTTTATCATTGTTGCAGATAGATTCTTTCAAGTTCTTTATGTTCATAAAGAAAAATAGCACATAGTAAATTTGAATTGTTAAAAATTCCAATGAGAAATAAAGACTATGCAAGTAAAAAGTAAATATGTCATACATGTTTATTTCAGGTAAATATTATTTGCCTTCCTCTGAAATGTGTTTATCATTTAAACTTGTGCAATTGAGCTGAACAAATGTATTCTATTCTTTGAAACAAATCAAAGTTATTTACATAAGATATGCTAACTAACAGAAACATATTGGTGCTATAACTATAGATGTGGCTAAGAAAACAAGTAAATGATGGTCAGCTTCTAATCCCAGCTTCAACACTAGACTGAAAGACATAGTTACTTATTTTCCATGTGATATCATAATTGATCTATTTGATCTCATCTATGTCCAATAAAGATGACTGAAAACTATTACAAATTCTACCAACTTTATAGTATCATCAATCTATTTAGGTTCCCCTACTTAAAAGTCCTTAAAAGGAGACTGTGAGTGATGGTTTATAATGTTTCAAAGCGTATTTATGAATTTCTCCTTTTTGCTTTGCCTTAGGAATATTTCAAACATGCCCACCCTGTTAGCAGGAATTGTTACACAGCTGTGGAACTTGTAGCACAAATGCGGAAGTACCCCTCACTTCAGCTTGCTAATTGTCTTTGGAGGAACAGCTAGAGGACCAAAAGAACACACTCTACACAAATGATTGTGGGGCCAAGGGGATGAAATGCTTCATTCCTTTGTAAATCCATTGTAATTCTTATTACAAGTCTCTTTTTAAACTCTAAAGAAAATAATGAAATAAAGAAAGGGAGATGCAATGTATAGTGCAAGTGCTTTTATAGAAGCAGGTTGGAAAATGAAGTTCCCAATAATAAAATGCAAATAATTTAGCTGCCACAGCTGGAAGTCTCTTACTGCAGCACAGATTTTGGTAATTGCTCTAATCCTTATATGTTCTCTTGCTCTTTTGCAGGCAGACCAGTAATGATTGTGGTGGAATACATGGAGAATGGATCCCTAGACTCCTTTTTGAGGGTGAGATGTTCTTTTCTGATGGCATTTAAATAAGCTATTTTTGAGTTCTAGATTTGAATCATTTATCATAAATTAATTTTTGCATAATTTTATTTATGAATTTTTTGGGAAGAGTGGCAGCATTTGCTCTAGGGTGCATTTCTCTGATACTGTCATCAATTACAGAGTTACTAAGAGGCAAGGATGTATACTTAATAATAAAATTGATTTTTCCTATAAATTCACATGCCATATTAATCTGTGTGTATATCCCAAATGATATTATCATGAAGAAACAAAATAACCTTTGTGGCCTCATACGGCCATTTATTTAGCTTTATCATGTTTAACTATTTAGTATATTTTATCTGTTATCTAAAATGATGAACTCCTTTAATTGATGAATGTTTTCCAGCAATAACTCAAGTTCATTTCACAAAATTCCTTTGTCCATCTTAAGTCCATTTGGCTGAATACTCAAAACACAAGAAAAAAATGAAATCTCTTCAGTCAAGATTTGTTTTAGATCAAAACTTTTTTTAAGCTTTATTTTATTTTATTATTTTTTTCCATTAATTTATTTTAATAACCTTAGTTGATTAGGGTACAAAGGGTCAAGGTCTACAGGGTGAAAGTGGATAATATCATTGTTTCCACACTAATACAATCATTTTTCTCTATATCTGGGGTTAGGGGAGTAGCAAAGGGAAAAGCCCCACCCAACTTCCCACCCATCCCCTATCCCCCAAATGAGGCACACTCCAAGGGTCCTGCTCAAACAGTTTTGATATTCATCAGTGCTGGATTGCTGCCAATCTCACCATCCCAACCGCAATGAAACCTATTCAGAGTCCACTGGCTGACAGTCTCTTGATGGTTGGGGTTCCAAGATCAGCAGTTCAGTTGGAGAGATATCCAAAGAAACTTCATCTGAGTTGATCCCAGATCTGATTCTTGTGTGAGTTTGCTAGTACAGACTCCAACACCGTTTGTCACACCAATCAGCTTATGCACATGCTGGTCGTTGGGATTGCTGGATCCGTTTGGTTTCCAGCCCCGTCTGCCTCGTGAACCAATGGGTGTGGTAGTCCAGCTCGATCCTACCCACTTCATACTCAGTCTTCATGCAAACCAGTTGGAGCTGCAGCCTAGTTGGGGCGACTCCCCAAAACCCCTACCAGTTCTGCCCCCTACCCTGGTTCCCATGCTTGCCAGTATGTACTGCAGGCTTGTCCAGTCTGCCCCACATCCCATTTAGCTCTTGCACATGTCAATGGGCATTGAAGCCTAGTTCAACCCAACCAACCTATTATCCAGCCCATACACCTGCTGGCAGGTGCTTTTCTGTCTAGCCACCCCTGCCCCTATCCTGGTTTTCGTGTTGTCCAATGAGGGTGGTAACCCTGAGGGAGGTGCCCACTATTTCCCTTCTAGGCCACACCCACTCCCAGATTATGCAGTCTCCAGGTGGTTCTGGCATTTGACTTGACAGAATTAGCTCCCAGTACCAGCCTCTGCCAGCTAATGCTGTGGCTAAGCCAAAACATCCCTCAACCCACTCTAATTTTACTTGCACAAATCAGAACCGTCAGCTCACCGTGAGGCCCACAGGTGCTATAGCCCTGCCTGAACTGCCCCCATCCCAATTCACACTTTCCAATGGAAGTAGTTATCCAGCAAGGGTGCCCACGTTCCCCTGTCGGCTTTGCCTCCTCCCTGATTGTCACATGTACTGTTTGTGTGCTGCAACCACATCTGGTACGTCTCATCTCACCTTGGCATTATTTGTTGTGTACTGGTATGTGTTGCAACTGAACCTGGCTCAACCCGCACTCTGTTCTGGTGCTCGGATTCACCAGAAGGTAATGTGAACAGGTTCAGCCTGGTCTGCCCCCAACCCATGCCATGTGTATGCCAGTGGGATAATTTTCATTGCCTGTTCTGGGTTGTTCCCTATTGTGCTTCTTGTGCTTGCCTGCAAGCAGGGGACTGTGTCCTGCCAGAGAAGTAGCCCGGGCTCCTCCATTAGAACCTTTCCCAATGCCAGTTTTTGCGCATACCAGTGGGTCCATGAGCCAGCACTACTCAGTTCACCTCCTGTTCTAAGAGGAACAGTGGCTTTTCCTGACTGGCCTTCGACCCAAGCTGGTTCTTGTTGTTGGATATTTCAACCCAGCCACAGCTCTTCCATACTGCCACACAGCTCACACATGGTTCAGTAAGGGCTGAGACCTAGCCTAGTCTGTCACACATCTCTCCCTGGTCCTCCAGAACACCAGATGGTGTCAGAATCTGGCCTGGCTTGGTGCTTCCTATCCCAGTCCCCACTTGTGCCAAGTGAGATTACAGTCATGTCCTGATCAGAATGCAGCCTCAGTTCCAGCCCATGCGCTCCTTGGTGGGAAACTCAACCCAGCTAGGGTGTCCCGTTATTTCCCCAACCAGGCCTCTTCCCTGCCTTAGATCAGGTGCAGGCCGGTGGTTGTTCTGTCTCCGCTTGGCAGAGCCCCTCACTTGTCCTGGCCCCTTGGATGCTGTGACTTAGTGCCTCTGCCTCACACAGATCAGTATATGCAAGGACCTACATGGCATGACCTGTGCTCCAACCTGATTTCTGTTGTTTCTTGTGAGTTAAGGTTTGTTCAGCCCTGCCCAGTCTGCCCCCTTCCAGTGGCAGCCCGACCCACCCCACATCCTGTTTAAAGATGCACATTTGGGTGCTGCTGCCTTGACCTACCGTGACTGCTGTGGGTTCCTTTTCCCATGAGTGATGGCAGGTGGCATGGTCGCACCTAGCTTAGACCATTGCAACCCCAGCTTGCGAGCTACCCCGGGGGACTTGTATTCTAAAGGGTTGGGCCCACACAACCCCACAGAGTCTACCCCCAGCCCAAGTTCTCTTGCATGCTGGATAGTGTCTTGATCCTACCAAATGTGACCACTCCACAACTCCAACACTCAGTCGGGTAATGGTACCCAACACTGCCAAAGAGGCCCCAACCATAGCTTTGGTGTGGGCTAGTGTGTGGCGATCAGTGATATTCTATATTAATATCCCAGCTCTGTATTCATAATTGAGCTGTTGCATCTGTCTTTCTAATATTATCTTCTGGATACTTCACTCCAATCCGCCAGGTCTTGGTCTCCTTGCATGCTTAAATCTTTCAGGACCCTGTCACTGAGAATACCCAAAAATTCACTTCGCACCTACACTCAAACTAGTCTTAGTCATGAGTGACGACAGGCAGCAATTACATATCTTGAAAACCCCAGAGTTTGCCCTTTCAGGCGGCCAGCAGGCAAAGCCTGGCACCTCTTGGTGCACTGGCCACCCAGGGGGAGGCCGAGGACTCGTTCACTGCCTTGCAGCAGTGTCTTTGGCGTGAGTCCTCAGCATTGAGTCCGACCCAGCAGGGGCACCCCCCACAGTCACTACATTGCAGGGAGCGTCAGAGGCCCCCAAGCCCAAGGCCCAAACTCCTCTAGATCACAACTTTTTAAACCACAATTTTAAAGCGATGTATTATTTCAAATGTGGTGTATACAATAAATCAGCTTTATATATAGTAATTCCAAGAAACAAAGATTAGAAGGCACCAAGAAGTAATATTTCAAAGTATATTTATAAGGTGTTTTTAAGATTTCACAGGCTATCATGTGCTGTGAAAATATTCATTGATAGTAAGGAAAATCAAAATGTAAAAAAAAAATCACTAAATATTTTCAGCTGCAGTGGAGGTCACATGTCTGTATGATGCTATATTCTTTAATAGATACCTATTTACAGAGACATGTCCATTTTTCTTGTTTACAAAATAGCTGGACTCCTGCCATTTGCCACATATTATATTATTTTTCTTCCTTATTTTCATGTGAAAACAGAGCATTCTTTCATCACACCATTTTTTGTCCCGTTTTGTTTGGACAAGCTCTATTTGTATCTCACCTTTCTCTCTTGATCTCATTTTCCTTGATGTCATGCCCTCTTCTTGATGTATTTACACTGTGACTGGGCTTGATGTCCACATTCAAGACCAGAAGCTGAATTCAGCAAAATCTCCAAGGTTTTTATAGAGCAATATTTCTCATGCAGTGCATCTCTCAACCAAATGTGCTCTTAAAGGCAAAGTGAAATACATAGGCATTTGTGACATGAACTATTGTTTTCTGTAGTCATTCTCAGAAAGTGTTGTTTTATAACTTTTATTTATTTCTTCATATAAATATTCTAAATTATTATAAATAACTTATCAGGAAAGTCTATGGTTCTTAAAATACATTTAGCCTTATACTCCCCCTTTGTGTTTACTGAAAAGTCACTTGTATAAGACACATACCAAAATGACTCATTTTTAATGATTCTTTATACAGATTGCTTTTCTTTTTCTTTTATTTTCTTCCTTTCTGCTTTGTTTTATTTATATATGATCTGAACTCTAGAGCAGAACAGGATGGCAAACAACGTAGCAGATAATTTAAATTGCTGCTGAATTTTGGATCAAAAGATTCACGAGCAATATTTAGAAGAAATATCAGCTTTAAATATACTTTATATTCTGCTGGATCATTAATCAGCTAAAATAAAGTATAAAATAATAATCTAGTATAAGATTTACTTATAAACATTGTATATTTAATAATGAATGTTTTAAAATACTGTTTTTGCCTCATGTTATGCGCCATGTTTAAGACATTTCCAGAGTGACTTGGAAACAGTACATAATTAATTAGCGGTAGCTGCCATTAGCACTACCTGAAGATCTCAGCACCTGCGTCAACTGACCTTGGCGTGGCCCTTCCTGGCGCTGTGACCTTGAGTGCATTGCTTCTCTAAACCTTGTTTACTCATCTGCAAAAGGAAAATATTAAGAAATTGTGCCTTATTCAGTTGTTAGAATGGCTTAGTTGATCAGTTAAAAAGGTTATAAAATAATGTGTAACACGTCATAAGTGGCAGATCAGGCATTGAAACCTAAATCAATGGCTCAAACAGCTAATCTCTCATGTGCTATAAATTCTTG